TGAATTCCATATGAGTGGCTAAATCCATACGCTAGGGATAGGGGATGATTGATTAGATTCGATTATAATTGCTTGTTCTTAATTGTTCATATCTATTCAAGTTGTTCTTATTCTAGGGTTAGTAGATTGATCACCTTTCTAACCTAATTAATCAACGTGTAGAACCGAGAGGGGAGACGTTGGTCGATATAGGCTTGTTTAGAGTAGACTTGTTCGTAATAGTATTGTCTATGGGTTGTTGGAATTGATAGTTGATCGTGTACGTTCACTCTCTTGTTACGAAGAGTTATTGAGAGTGAGCCTCTGGAAGAGAAACGATTCAAGTCCCTTAACCGAGCAATTGATTGCCGGTAGTTGTGTTAGAACCGAAAGCAATTATCCCCGATTCCCTAGCTCTTTAATCATTTGAGTTTGTTCACTTGCTATTTAATTTGTTTACATTAGTTTTGAATCTTTAGTTGATAATTAAAACCCCAAAATTATTGAATAGAGTGTTTAGGAATTTTTCTTTTCTTTCTCGTGATCGAATAATCGTACAATTAAATCCGGCTAACCTTCCTTGCGATACGACCCGGGGAACGAATCTTTCGATTCTACTCCGGTAAAAATACTCACAACACGACTCTTGGCTCTTTCTCACGGATGATGGCTCGTTTGGTTCGTTCAATGGCTTGGTAATGTCACAAAAAATAGCTCGTCTTCCTGGTCATGCAAATATGACCTAAACAACACCAAAATACACAAGAACATACGACAAAGTACAAAAACACAAAACGAAAGTAAAAACACATAAAATATGATAAAATTGACCGGTTAATACCAAACGAAACTAAAAATGACTCAACTAAAGCATATAAAATACAAGAAAATAAGCACAAAATCATAACAAACACTAGGTGCCGCTTGGCCGATTTTTTCTTCCGATTTGTGCAAATCGGAGGCGCCCAGGCACCGCCTAGGCCGAATTTTAAAACAATGACTAAAAGATAGATAGAACATGTTTTACAATATAATAAGTTTCACTGATTCACATGATTTATGTACAATATTGAAAATATTATGCTTTGATTTTTTTTTATATGAAGACAAATAAATACCAATGCACTTATGAATGCATTATAACTATATATATTAATATAAAAATGGACTAAAAATTTACCTTAAATAGTAAAAGAATTCAGCCAAAAAAATTTATTTTTGTAAATATAGGAATTCCAAAATATTCTTAATTTTGCCGCCTTTAAAATCTGATAAATAATTTTTAAAATTAATTTTAAATTTAAAATCTAATAATTTTAATTTTAAAATCTAATAATAAAATTTGCAATACATCTCTGAGTAATTATTTAGAACATAAATAATAAATATATTTTACACCATATGTGTAAATATATGTCATTAAAAAAATCACAACACATCCACGTAAATTGTCAATTTTGTTCGATTCCATGAAGATGTAATTTTTTTTTTTATTATTATTATTATTATTATTATTATTATTATTATTATTATTATTTTAAGCTGCAACATATGCGAGTAACTATTCAGTTGTCCGTATTACATGTAGACCAATTTTATTTTAATTAAAAAAAATTGCTACGTGATATTTTTTTTATTTTTTTCCTTCTATGTATGTACGTTATATCTTTATGTTTAAAGTTCATATATTTTGATTTTGATTAATCTACACAATCTTTTAGCTCTCGATGATAATACATAATAGAATTTGTGTACAAAATTTTTTAAGTGAAAATTGAGGTAAAGAAGAATAAAATATGTTTTTGAAAACAATCATATGTTTTTTGGATTATTCACCGAGCCCTAAGATTTTCTCTCGACCCCTTTTGTATATTCGCCGCGGTCACCCTACTTCGTCTTCTCCGATTTGCCTTCCTCAGCGGCAGTTGAGTTCTAGGCGGCGGTCGACCCTCGACTGCCTCGAGCCAGCTGGGGAAGGAACACCGGCAAATTGAAATCGACCGAAGGGGGGAGCGACTAGGTTTTCTGTTCGTCAAATTGTTATCAAAATTATAGGGAAAAAGTAACTCCATATGATTGTTTAGTCCAATATTTTATATTAATAAATAACCGAAGGGAGATCCATGACTTTACGTTTCCGGTGAAATTTTGGTAACTTTATTTTTATCCAAGTTCCAAGCTTTATTCACTATTTTTGTCCGGCCATGCGATATATAGAGGAGTAGGTACACTGCTTAGGCCTTACTTCTTCGAGTTTGTCTTTCAAATTATGTGTTTATGCTCGTTTCTAGGCTTTACTTTATTTTTCTTTTTTGCTTAGGTGTGTTAGAAATTCAATACGTGCATATCTTGTGTAATGGTCTCGACTTTGTGCAAAGCGAGTTGACTTAATTAAGAAGGCTCGTGTTAGATTATCTAGGATCACTTAACTAGCATATTTCTCTTTTTTTTATTTTCTTTTTCTTGAGTCTTGGAGATCCCGTTCGACTAAAGTTTCAATCTTTCTTCTAAAATTTGCATCTTGCATCATTTGATTTCATTTGTTTAGAGTAATTTCGTGCAATCTAATCCCATCAGGCGCGTAGAATGTGTAGGACCTATTTTCGGTTATGTGACTTTGACGACTAGGTAGTGAAGAAGCTCCAAATAACTTTTTTTTGAGAACGACCCGAGTCCGGGTAGCTCGGTTACCACATACCCCAAAAAAATTACAAACAAGCCTTCAATAATTTTTTTGACAGAAGTGTTTTTGAAAATCCAAGATCCGTCAAGTCCAAGTTTGTCTCCAAGAAGGATCAAAGAAGAAAGAAAGACATATTAGAAGAAGATAAGCAGATAAATCGATTCCAAACATTTAATACGGGAATAATCCGTTTGACCTTTAAATTAATGTAAGAGAATTCTAATTCAATCCTAAAGAAGATCTAAGTGTCAAATCCATTTAAAAATCACATGGAAGTCCAAGAATCAGATGTGGCATATAGAGATGTACTTGCAAAATATTTTGATCGAAATAAAATCAATTTGTAGTAAAAGTTTTATGTTTTTTTATAAAATTTGTTGTGACAAATTTGACACACTCAGGGAAACTCGAAATGAAAGTTATTGTTACAACACACAATCCGATGAATGGCATGTATACAAATATGACGTCACAAAGACGATTCTTATACATCTAATAAAATGTAACACAAAGAGAAATCTCACTCACAATTTCAACCCAGACAAAAAGGAGAAGAGAAAAATCTTGTAACCATCATTCATAATTTCCTTTAAAATTACCTAAATTCACTCACAATTTCAACCAGACAAAAAGGAGGAAAGGAAAAATCTTGTAACCATCATTCAAAAGATCCCTTTAACATAACCATATTCAAAAACATGAACTTTTCGACACCTTTCTGTCACCTCCCTCCATGTAAACCTTAGTAAATTTTTCCCATTTAAACCCCAGCCAATCTCCACAAT